GGGAGGCTGAGGCAAGAGAATCACTTAAGCCCAAGAGTTTGAGGTTGCTGTGAGCTGTGACGGCACAGCACTCTACTGAGGGCAACATTGTGAGACTGTGTCTCAGAAAAAGAAAAAAATTTGATGAATGTTGACAATGGACAAGGAAATTTTATTATTTCTATTACATGCAGCATTTTAAGTAATCAACCAGAATCATGACTGACAACATCACATCAGAACCATCAGACTTATAAATTTTATATAATCATTAAGATATTCATATCAATAACATATCTATGCAAATATAACTTTGGGAAAGGTTAACATAACCAAAGGTTATGTTAGTTATGACTAACCTATTATATTTCTGTGAACTTATATAATTTTTGAAACATATATATGAATATGTATACATATACATTTTTTTTAATCCAATATAGTCTCATTCTGTCACTTTGGGTAGAGTACCGTAGCATCATAGCTCACAGCAACCTCAAACTCCTGGGCTTGAGCAATCCTTTTGCCTCAGCCTCCTGAATAGCTGGGACTACAGGTGCCTGCCATAATGTCTGGTTCAGTGTTTTTTTGTTTTTTTGTTTTTAAGACAGAGTCTCAAGCTGTTGCCCTGGGTAGAGTCTTGTGGTACCACAGCTCACAGCAACCTCAAACTCTTGGGCTTAAGTGATTCTCTTGCCTCAGTCTCCCAAGTAGCTGGGACTACAGGCACCTGCCACAACGTCCGGCTATTTTTTTGTTGCAGTTGTCATTGTTGTTTAGCTGGCCCCAGTCAGACTTGAACCCCTTCACCCTTGGTGCATGTGACTGGCACCATAACCACTGTGTTACGGGCACCGAGCCCGGTCTGGAAGTTTTCAGCTCAAGGAATCCACCTAGAGCCCTCCCAGAGTTCTAGGATTACAGACGTGAGCCACTGCACCTGCCCTAACTAATTTACCTATTATTAATAGTTTGCCTAGATTACTTATGAAAATTGATGTATTACACAAAGCTAGTCATTATTTCCTATTTCCCTGTTAACCTTTTTTATTGTTTGTAAACATTAGTTGTTCAACAAAGAACCTTAAAATTAAATGTATGAGTAGTTTGTTGATAACTCAGAAGATAATAGCTGTTTTTTATTAAATCAACAATATTAAATTAGTCTTACAAAAATTACATAAAGATCATTTTGGTTTAGGTTGGGTTTATAGTCTTTAACCTTTGTGTCAAATCTTAAAATATCCAGCAGAGACAAATATGAAATAGTCTAACTAGTAAATTTAGGCAAAAAAATGTATGCAGACAATTCTGAAGATATTTCTATTTTTATTTTATCAATAATTTTAAAGCCAGTTTATATGTTGTATATTGAAGATTTACATAAGTCACAAAAACTAAAAAGCATTTGGGTTAATTACTATATATTTTATATTTTATACGAGACTCTATTTATCTAAATAGAATTCCTTAAATGATTTCTGGCCAACTATGCCAGATTGTACTGCACAGACGGAACATATAGAATAATCATGTAATGCATGTGCATATACGTAAACTTGCA